TTTATTTATTTCTTTTTCTGAGATTTTGTCTTATATTTTCATTTGGAACGTATTCCTGTCTCCTCATTTTGCCTAACTGTGTGTTTGTTTCTATGTATTAGGTTAGATTGGTTATGTCTCCCAGTCTTGAAGGAGTGGCTTAATGTAGAAGGTGTCCTTTGGTGCCCAGTACACAAACTCCTCTAGTCACCTGAGCCACGTACCCCAGGGATGTCCCCTGTGTTGGCTGTGTGCACTCTCCTGTTGTGGCTGGGCCAGAATTGGTTCAGACTAGCTGCTGTGCATAGCTATGCCCTGGCACAGCTGTCTATGGCAACTGGCCATGACCACAATGGGCACACTGGTAAGCAGGGCTGGTGCCTGGCCCATTTGCCTGTGAACTCTGGCTGTGACTGTTTCAGCCAGTCTAGTGTGCAGGGCTGACCGCCCCCCCATGGTGGGGGCTGCTTGTGGAGGGCCCCCAATGCCAGCCAAAACTGTCTCTTAGGAGTGGCAAGATGGAGGCCACTTGGGACAGGCTCTGGCCAGGGTGGTGGGTTGGTCAGGGTGAGTCCACAGGGCAATGCCAGGTGGGGTGAGCAATTCTAGTACAGTAAGTAGAGAGAATCAGAAATGGTTTCCCCCATCACCACTGGGCCAGCGAGGTAGAAGGGGAGTGAAAAAAAAATAGTGCCCACAAGTGCTCCTGTCTGTGGAGAACATTCCAATAGATCTTTGCCCCTCCATTACACACCCTAAAATTAGTCAGTGACTCTCTTTCACATGTAACCCAAGTGCTTTTCATACTGCTGCCTTTGTGCTGGATCTCAGGGTGAGTGAGATTGTACACTACCCTTTAAGGGCAGAGTCCTGGTTTCCTACTGCTCTCCAGCTCTCCTGCATGATGTAAGCCTCTGGCTGCCAAAGCCAGATGTTATGGGGCTTGTCTTCCCAGTGCAGGTCCTCCTGGGCTACAGAACACGATGCGGGGCCCAGACCCCTTGTTCCTCAAGGAGGGCCCCTACAGTTGTGACATCCTTGCTTGCAGGTCCCTGTGCTGGGGGATGGGTCCTGATTAGACTGTTTCTGCCCCTCCTGCCCATCTTAATAAGGCCTTTTCTTTATATCTTTAGTTGTATAAAAATCTGTTCTGCTAGTGTTCAGCTCATTCTCAGGGATAGTTGTTTTTTATGTAGTTGTAGTTTTGTTACATCCATGGGAAGAAGTGAGTTCAGGACCTTCTCACTTTGACATATTGATCCCTACAAAGAGTTTTATTAATAATCCTCTCTCATTTGAGGATATACTCTATCTTGAATAAAAATGATGTAGGATAGCATTATAAAAACATCTTTAGTATGTGATAATGTAAAAATAACTGTTTTCTATTCAAATAGAACTTGTCTCTAAGGCGCGCTAAGCACATTAAATATTAAAGCAAAACCTTGTTTTCTCTACAGCAGAGAGGCAAAATAACAAGCATGCTCTTTCCCATCTGGCCCTGCCTGTATTTTCAGATCTGTCTTATGTTCTACAATTTCATTGGCCCTCATTTTCAAGCACAAGTGAGCTATTTGCAGTTTTCCCCTAAATATGTCATTTTGTTCTTAGCATGCTCTCCCCAGCCCATTCTATCTGGCAAGTTTCTATTCCCCCTTAAGACTCAGCTGAAATGCCCAAGTCTCTGTAAAGCTCTCTTGATGTCTAAATTAGTCCTTTATCTTCAGTGCACATATCTTTGCACATAGTGAACACTCATACCTTATTTTTAGATATCCTCTTAACTCCTTAAGAACAGGGACTATGTCTTACTTTCATGGAGATGTGTCCTCAGTGTATAAACACATCCTAGGCATATAGTGACTAAGTGACTGAACCAAGTACAAAAAACACAGCTACCCTGGAGATGGAACCTGGCTTGTAAAACATGGTGAGTGACCATCAGGGAAAACATTCATTAAAATCTGTGCATGTCACCTTCCCTCTCACCTACCAAAGGTCCTATCAGTGTGACTCTGTCTGTTCAGTTGTGGTGTGCCTCCTCTTGAAGAGAACATCTCTACTACATCCATTTCTGTTGAGATTTACTCTTGCTCTCTTGATTTTACAGCTTTGCAAACAAAAAAGCATGTTTTTAAAATCTCTACACCATTAGTTTTAGACTTTTCTTTGTCTCTACATGTAATTACATTTTGAAAAAATTCACAGAATATGGTTGGTGTGCTACATATCAAAGTAATATTTTGAAAACAAGAAGACAATAAATAAATCTTTAGTAAAGAAGTCTAATGTGTATCCAGGCACCCAACTATTTTCCCTCTTACTAGTAAGTTATAACATTCAAGGTATTTTGTTGCTTCAGCCAAAGAAACAAGAAATGAAGAGCTGCAAAAACTTGAGCATAATTTGCTACAGTGAGCAGGGTTCTGGCTGCACATATATACATTTTCCATCCACATTTTTTTGTTAGTTTGCTTTATTTGATGCATTTAACTTGAGATGCATTAAAACGTTTGATTCTTGGGTCTCCTTTTCCATGATGACACCTAAAGAACCATTATTTTAAGTCAAGCTAAACTTAGATTATAGTTTTATGCTTGTAAATGTATAAATTCTTAAGTATAAGAATATTAGATATAAATAGAAACTGTGATTTGGTTTTTAAGTTAATACTGTTATCTCAAAATACTTCTTTCTTACTTTGTTCAATGTATTTGGGATCCTATTCATGTTTCTAGTAGCTTCAGAATATTTGTAAAATGGGAATGGGAAAGAGGAATGCTTTATTAGAGGCAGTTTTTCCATAAAGCGTCTGAGCATCATGCTACTATATTTTTAGCCCAATCTGTGAATATTATGTGGAGCTTAATCATATCTCAATTTAAACACAACCCTAAAAAGTACCTCTTGAGCCTTCAACCTTCATTTCACCATGAATTTTTTATATGCAAAGATGCAGTCTTAGCAAGAAAAACAGATCTGTATCAACATTTGTTTTTGAGACAGACCTAAGAAACTTAGGTAATTCTAAATGTCTAGCAGAAATATTGTAGAGAACTTGCTATTAGAGAGTCCATTAAAAAAATTTCCATTATTGTATCCTTTTTCCTAATGGAAGATCATTCTCTTTGACTTTCTTTTATGAAAATCCTTTGGCTAAGAAATGTTAAGAAATCCACAAGAGCAAGACTTATTCCTTGCCTCCTCGTTGCTCCATTTAGTCACTGCATTTGTGACTCTAACTTCCCCAAGGGGCTCAAAACTACCTTTCCTTTTTTGCCTTCTGAGCCCCACTCCTCCTCCCCTTCCTTGTTCTTATTCTTCTTCCTCCAAATCAAAACTGCATTGCCATAAAAAAATAAGGTGGATTCACGAATGGATACATAGACAGATAGAAGTGTGATAAACCAAGTATAGTAAGTTGCTAATGGTAGAATGTGGGTGGAGGGTATAGAACCAGTCACTGTAAGATACTTTCAGCTTTGCTATGTGTTTTAAAATTGTGATAATAAAATCTTTTAGAGTTGATTATCCATAAAGGATGGGATGATGGGGACTTTCACATACTCTGTGTTTAAATGTTTTATTCGTATCATAAATATAATCAAACATTAATATTATTATTAGAGAAAAATGAAAATAATTATGTTTAAAGCTACACGAAACTTGTCTTCACAAATGAAGTCACCAGACTATTGTTTTAAATGCTCTTTATGTTGGCAATTCACACTGGGCCACCCTAAATAATTAAGAATGTGCGGAATGATTCAGCTGTGCGATGATGACTGCATCATTACAATGGGAAATTAGTTACCTAATGATGGTCTACATAGTAAAAGAAATACTATGCAGCCATTAAAACTTATAGAAGCAAATGTACTGACATAAAAATATTATATAAAACATAATATATGCTGCCTAGAAAATTAGGAATGCATGGTATGGCTGGAAGTACATATATATGAAATTATGTATTATGGATTCATGGAGATTCATATGTGATTATGGGTTATTTTATCCACATTAAATTTTTTTTTCTGAAATGCAAGTTTTCCATTGTATTTATTAGTAACATAAGGAAGAAGAAAAAGAGAAGAAAAAAAAATCCATGTTACGTTTCTGTGAAAATGGAGCAGGGAAATCTTTGTATCTGTAAATAATTTGTAATTAAGCCAAAATGATTTTTTGTTTTTTTCTTTTATGTGTATCACTGAAATCTGCTCTTACATTTCTTTAATCTTGTACTTATAAAAAGTTCATTTGAAATATGGAAAAACAAATAATTTCATTCATTTTTCTTAAGTTATTTTCATGGACTTGACTAGTGGCTTTTGAAAGGAAAATTCATTTGTTTTCATGCTTCTAGGCCCAAGGTGTTTCATACTTAGAGATGCCTTATCTTTAATCTCTAATTGCATTAAATTAGTGTGTCTGACTCATATTGAAAGGAAGCTTCAAAGTAGAAATGGGAAAATCTAGTACTCTCTAAGTACAATAACCACTGCTACATCTCAGCGATTGCGATACCTATGTCCCAAGTGTCGTACCAGAAGAATTAAAGTTCAAGGATGTGACAGCTAAATAATAAAAGAAGTTTTTATTTATTATAGATCTCTTTTCTCCCAGGAGATTTTAGCAATGTGCTGAAATTAACTGATCTCCGCAATATGTCTCTGAGAGGGATAAAGGGAAGAGACTATTACTGTTAATTTTTATTCATCTAGTAAACATTTATTGAACACTTACTTTATAACTGTGAACTTAATGTTTCACTTACCATTTCCTCTCTAGAAGACATATTTCCATGGATTTTCTGCCAATGGCTACTAAAAGAGAAGTTAGACAGCAATAAAAGTGAAAATAAGCAAAAGTAGGGTTTATCTGAGTCCCAGTCCTCTCACAGAGGGTCTTACGGAATCTGCAATCCATTTATGCTCCCACCCCTTCCTGCATTATTCTGCAAGTGTCTCCTCAGCCCTGCACAGCACACGACAGCTTGTTTTCATCTCTTGTCTCTGCAGGCAGGATGTCCAGCGGTCGGGCTTTGAGGAAGCAGCAACAGTTAAACAATCTCGTCTATGTGGTGACAAGTCAGGCCAAACCTGGTGACAGAATCGTGGATTTCTGCAGTGGTGGGGTACCGCATCTCTCCTGTGTTTTCTTCAGCCTTTCCAAGACTGTGTGACTTCATGTTTCGTTCAAGGTCATGTTTTTGTTCAGAATGAGCAAAAAGCCTTTGGGAACCAAAGCTAACTTGTTTGTTTTTCTGCCTGTTTTAGGGCCATGTTGGGATTGTCCTAGCTCACATGCTGCCAGCATGTCAGGTAAGTCTGAATAAGAGATGAAAGGGCACATTGGAAAGCTGCACTGTCAGTGAGCTGAGTCTGGCTTATCCCTGCTCTTTGAGTTCATAATCATTCACCCGGGTCAAATATGTGGCACAGGCATTTCGTTTTTTTCTCTGAACTAAACTTCCAAGATTCACAATCTTAAGGAGAAAAAGGATACTAGAACCACAGTACATATTTCAATTTTCAAAAGGATTATATTTTAAAATAACTTGTAAAAGAAATAACTATTCCATTGTTAAATAAAATAGTTAATGATGAAGCTAGTTTAATTGATAACAATTTTATTCTGGGAATACTAGCTTCTGAAACTTGTTGAGCATATTTTAGTATTTTAGTTTTTATCCATTGTGTCAAAATTTAACAATAACAACACTTTTAAAGAAAACAGTGAACCCCAAATCTACCACACTGATCAAATGTTTTCCTCCTTGTGTCCTCAGTAAGTCATTGTCCATGAGGAAGCTTATTGTTGCAAATAGCAAAGTGCAAATGCAATTTTAGTCACCTGCTTTCACTCAATATTACATCATAAACAGTTTTCTCTATTACAAATAATTTTAAATCTCATTATTAAAATACCAGTAAAATGTGACTATGTAATATGTTTTTAAGTAAACGTACCAGAATGCATGCAATTGCCAACATTTGTTAAAAGTTTGTGCTATTTCACTTTTAAAGAAAACAGTGAACCCCAAATCTACCACACTGATCAAATGTTTTCCTCCTTGTGTCCTCAGTAAGTCATTGTCCATGAGGAAGCTTATTGTTGCAAATAGCAAAGTGCAAATGCAATTTTAGTCACCTGCTTTCACTCAATATTACATCATAGTTTTCTCTATTACAAATAATTTTAAATCTCATTATTAAAATACCAGTAAAATGTGACTATGTAATATGTTTTTAAGTAAACGTACCAGAATGCATGCAATTGCCAACATTTGTTAAAAGTTTGTGCTATTTTTAGTCTGCCATATTACATCATTTCCTCACAGTGACTATCTTTTAGCATAAAAGTCTAGAACTTGATGGCATTTTTTAAACACAAATTGAACTGGGGCTGATTCTTCGCTGTGAGCCCTCTGGAAGATGCACAATTATTACAGTGATTACTCCCAGAGGAAAAAAGGTGGAAGAATTCATAGACTGGTCAGAATGACACATAACAAAAGAAAGGAGAGAATAAAATAAATAAATAAGCCTGGGAGGAAGGCAGGCATCTGTTTTATTTAGGAGAGCGATTTTGTCACTGGAGAACGAGGGAGAGCCCTCGTGGAACAGAATCCTGGAGAAGCAGAGTCAGGCAGACCGTCTTGTTCTCCCATCCTGACAGTTCTGCTGGAAACAGAAAGACATTGAAACTGGAAAAGGGAAGGCTTGGCTAGAATAAAAGCTGGACAGCCTTTGACACCAAGTACACACTTGACAGGTTTTTTTTTTTTTCAACTGCAATTTCATTTAATACTAGTTTTCAACAAACTGCTACCAAACTAGAAGCCAGTAACACACATTAAAGGAGAAAATACACTATGCTCAAGTACGGTCAGATCCAAGAAATCAAGAATGCTTCATATTAGGGAAATTATTAGTTTCATTACATATTAATAGATCAAGGGTTACAAACCACATAACTCACTCAAATTTGCTTCAAAGGTATTAGATAAAATTCAACATCCAGTCCTTCAGTTAAACACATACACACATATACGCACATGAACTTACATGCTCCTAACCACACAGAACTAGGTAGATACTTCCTTCACCAAAGGCCAGATGAAGCATTAGAAGAATTCCTACTAAAATCATGAATGAGCTGATGATGCTCATTATCAGCACTACTATGTAACATTTTTCAGAGACATTAGCAAGTATGACAAATCATAGGAAATATAAAAATTAAAAGGGAAATGCAAAATGATTATTTGCAGTTGACATAATTTTATACCTGTGAAATCTAAGATGAACTGAAGAAAGACTTACTAAAACGCTTTTAAAGTTCATTAAGGATATCTTGACAGGTTTTTTTTTTTACAAAAAATTCCAGGATTTTTCCATAAAGACAAGCATAAGGACAAAACAAGGGTAGAACTAAGAATGAGAGCAGTGAAAGTGACAGTTCTGCCCACTTTTTTCCACCTAAACCAATGATCCTCTCCCATGTCCCTTTGCTGGATTAGAGACTTCTAACTGGTTGCCCTGCCTTCTGCCTCACCCCCACCAAAGCCATGCTATACATCGCAGCAACTGAACTTGCATCACACCTAATCTGGCTCCTGTTACCTCTCCAGCCTCATTCCCACCTCCTTCCTTTGTCCCCCCAGCCCCACCATCACTGCCATACACTGTGCCCTGGCTCTATTTGATTTTCTCAGTTATTCAAACACACTGTATCTCTCTCAACATGGACTTTCATACATGTCTCTCTCTCTATGTGAAACACTCCTTCATTCCTCCAGCTAATTTCTATTCATTTTTTCAAGCTTCAGTTAATGTGTTACTGTTCCATATTAAATGACTAAAACCTTCCTTGGCCCTCAAGTCTGAGTGCTCTGATAATATATTCTATGTCTTTCATGAAATGCTTATCACTGTATTATAATTGCCTGTTTCAGTTATATCACTATATCTATGAACTTTAAAAGTTCAAGAACCTCATTCATTCATTTCTACACCACATTATCTGGCATACTTCCTGGCACAGCATAAGGATCAATGTAGTATGTTCTACGTTATTAAAGCTATGAAATACTTTGCCCTAGTGTCTGAAGTATGTTACTGAATATACTATTGTTTTCTGGATAAAATCTAGGTTACATTAATAGAAAACAAGGAATTATCATTAATTCGTGCTAAGAAGAGAAGTGACGAACTAGGTTTAAGCAACATTTGGTTCATTCAAGCAAATATGGAGTATTTTACAGGGACGTTTAATATTGGGGTAAGTAATAAACAATTTTAATTTCTTTCATTATTTAAGTAAGAAAATTATAAGACTAAGAGTAAATAAAGGAGATATGTTTATATTCTTTGCTAAACAGAGGAATTTATAACATTCGTTTAATGAATACTATTTCATTCATAACTTTCATCATTCCATGATAGAGGTAACACTTGTTCCTTTATAACTTTATTTTCTTCTTTGTAGAAGCCCAATGTCTAAAACAATGTTTGACACATAGCAAATGCTTAAAAGTAGTTATTAATTGAATGAATGAATTATAATGAAGATGATGTCTCTTGTTTTATACTACATTTTTAGAAAATTAATGAAAGAAAAGAAAAACAAGAACATAATAGAAAAAAATAGCTTGTTAGTAACCTATAAATACTAAAGTTGCCTTTACACAATATATCTTTAGCTAGGATTTGATATCATCATGTTTTTTAGCTTCCAAGAGACAAAGTATATTGGTCATATTTCTAAACCTTCAGATCAAATTGTTATTGTTTGATATGACTAAAAAAACCTAAGATACATGATTCTGCCAGCCCATTTAAACCCAAGATTGTATGCTCTGCTGGAGTTTAAGTTTCATTAAGATGTTAGTGTTGCTTCTGGTCTTTGTATTTGTTTCAAACAATTTTTTCTTATTTTTAAGGATTTAATGTTCAGTATAGAAAAATACATAGTAATATAAAGAGGAATCATCAGTATTTCTACTACTGAGAGAGAACTGTTGTCAAAAACCTTCAGTCTTTATACAGTTTTCCACACATACAAAAGCATATTTACACATTTATTAACATCATTGATATCATACTACATAGATCCTGCTTTAACTGAACATTGTCATAAATCTTTTCCCTACTGACTCATCATGTTTTTTTTGTTTCTTGTTTGTTATAATATAACTATTACTATGATGGATATCTTATGCATCACTTAAGATATTTGATACATTTGCCAAATCACTTTCCAGGGAAGTTGTGCTAATTTGCATTCCCAACTGTCTGTGTTCATATAACACACACAATGGGCTTGACTAGATGGAACTCTTGTCCAATTTCAGAAGCTCAAACCTTTTGTAGTACTTATGATTTTTTCCCAAAAACGTTCATTTCTTAAATATCAACTACTCCAAGTTTGTGGGGCTTATTGTTATTTTTTACAGCCTAAAAAAGAATGCAGTTTGTTTACTGTGTAGGTGTGATCTAGATTGGTTATCTCAAGCCAAGCCTATACAAAGAGAAGCCAACAGTTTTAAGAAAACTGTTAGTAAAGTAACTGTTAATAAGGAAATTTTGGAAAACGTAAACATCTGAGACAGCAAATTAAATATATATTTTTGTGCAATTTAAATTTTACATAAATGTTGACATACACAGGTTCTCCCATGAAACAAGCCATTAAGCCAATGCCCGTATTACCCATATACCAAGCAGAATGTTTAAGATACCAAGGTGTTGCTGCCCATTCACTCACCTCTCAATTCATGAAATTCCCAGCCTGTCAGCCATCTATCTCTTTGCCCTTCTCTGGCATATATTCTTGTAACTTCCAAGGTCATAACTTACTAACACCAACTAAAACTTATGTCTTTTTATAAGTGATTTCTTCTCCACATTTCATAATATTATATCCATAATGACTTTTTTTCTTTCATAAATTACCTTTGTCGTGTTACATAGAAATGAATTAAAATTACTTGGAGGATTAAACCAAAATTAGATTTACTCTCAAGGAATTAATTTGCCTAGGAAGATAATTGAGGTATTGTCACTTGATAAATCAAACTAAATGGATCAGTGGTTCTAACTCTTGCATAATAGATTCCAGTGAAAATAGTGTAGGTAGAGAGGAAATCAGAACAGCCAGGTACTGGAAATGAATTAAGACTGCATTAATCCATAATGTTGCGATCTTTCAAATTAACAGTTAGTTGGCATTTATCTTTGCTTAGCAAATGCCTTTTTCTTTCATTATTTTTTTCTTTAGATATAAAATTAATGATGTAAACAAGATCTTTAGAAGAGAATTTTAAAGCCTTAGAACTAAACATGTTTTGGAGCTTTAAACAAATTACATATATAAGAATTGAAATGCCATTAATACAACCTATATCAGGCAAAAATTAACAGGTGTACTAACTTTGTTAAATTACTTTGATTTGAAATAATGGAAGAGAACAAATCCATTTTCAAATTTTTCAAAAACTTCTACCAACACCCCTAGTTATTGTACCTCCCCTATATAATCAGTATCAGTAAGGTAATACTATGTTTGTTCCAGAGTCATTCTGTAATTTCTGATTTACACTCTGTATATTTGAGAAATATAGTTCTTTGGAAATACACAAATGCCTGATAAGCTTATGAAAACATTCAAAGTCTCTAGTAACTGTATACATTTTAACTTGAACAATGATATTCAATTCTTGTTCTAAAACTGACAAAGAATTTTAAAATATTATTTCTCATTGATTGCAATGCTTCAGTAAGATGGGTATAACCATACAGGAGCTTTGAAATATTCACTTACATGGTATTTACAATGAGTTGTTAATGACATGAAAAATTTATTATATTGGTAAAACGAAAATTGTATAAACATAATGGCTAAGAGATGTATTTTAACATTGGGCAGCCTTATGCTAAAGTCTCAGTTTGGCCAGTTAGTTAACTATATAGCTTTGGACAATTTATTTAAACTCACCAATCCTCAGTTTTTCTGCCTATAAGATGGGCATAATATACCTGGTTCATAGGATGTTGATAAAATGCATGTGAGGCACTTAGCTGTTTGCTTGGCATTTAAGAAGGACTCAACAAATTGGGCCTCTTACTCTGTGCAGTGTGATCTCAACCATTGAAAAGAACTACATCAAAAATGGATGGGAGTAAATTATACCAATATGTATTTTTTTAAAGGTGGCTCTCTCTATATGCTAATATGCTTTTCTTTATTTTCAATATTAAAAAATATCCCAAACTTAACATTATTTTTATATTCATAATAATGTAAGCAATTAAGCAATGAAGATAGAAGAAAAAAACATATGTGTTTAATATTTGATAGATAGCTTATTTAGCCAGAAAGACTAATAGGGTCCTAAGGATTACTACAAGGTTTCTAAAAGAATTCTGAACATAGAGAGAGAGATATGATTTCTTTCAAAATGAGCATTTGATTATTATAGAAATACCTTTTGATTGGCTAATTCTGATTTTGATTATAATGACTGTTATATCCTGGGGAAAATATAAAAAAGTCTTTTAAAAAATAAACACTCAAGAAGGATTTTTTCTTTCCAGTCTCAATATAGATAACTAACTGTATGGCACTGAACTGAGTGTTTGTTATGGATTGAATATTTGTGCCCCCCACCAAAAAAATTCATATGTTAAATTCCTAACCCTTAAGTGGTGGTATTAGGAGGCGGGCTTTGGGTAGGTAATTAGCTCATGAGAGTGGAACTGTCCTGAATGGAATTAGTTCCCTTATAAGACGCGAAAAGAAAGACGGCCTTCTTCCTTGGCTCTCCTTCATGTGGGGGGACGATGAGAAGCAGCCCTTTGCAAACCAGGAAGGGGGTCCTCACCAGACATGAGATCTGCCAGCACCCTGATCTTAGACTTCTGACCTCCAGAACTGTGAGAAATAAGTATTTGCTGTTTAAACCACCCAGTCTGTGGAAATGTTTCTATAGCAGCCCAAACTAAGGCAGTATGTGTTGATCACCATACACTTAAAGGACAATTTACAAGAGATTACTTTAAAAGTAGACATTTTAATGGCTGTTTTTTTTTAAAGAAGTCTGTTATTGCCTAATGCAAGTTAAATAATCATTACTGTAAAAAACTTACTTTATAAGATTTTCCTTTTAAGACCCAAGTTGCAATGTGTACTAATAACCTAATCATAGGAAATATAAAAATTAAAAGGGAAATGCAAAATGATTATTTGCAGTTGACATAATTTTATACCTGTGAAATCTAAGATGAACTGAAGAAAGACTTACTAAAACGCTTTTAAAGTTCATTAAGGATATCTTGACAGGTTTTTTTTTTTACAAAAAATTCCAGGATTTTTCCATAAAGACAAGCATAAGGACAAAACAAGGGTAGAACTAAGAATGAGAGCAGTGAAAGTGACAGTTCTGCCCACTTTTTTCCACCTAAACCAATGATCCTCTCCCATGTCCCTTTGCTGGATTAGAGACTTCTAACTGGTTGCCCTGCCTTCTGCCTCACCCCCACCAAAGCCATGCTATACATCGCAGCAACTGAACTTGCATCACACCTAATCTGGCTCCTGTTACCTCTCCAGCCTCATTCCCACCTCCTTCCTTTGTCCCCCCAGCCCCACCATCACTGCCATACACTGTGCCCTGGCTCTATTTGATTTTCTCAGTTATTCAAACACACTGTATCTCTCTCAACATGGACTTTCATACATGTCTCTCTCTCTATGTGAAACACTCCTTCATTCCTCCAGCTAATTTCTATTCATTTTTTCAAGCTTCAGTTAATGTGTTACTGTTCCATATTAAATGACTAAAACCTTCCTTGGCCCTCAAGTCTGAGTGCTCTGATAATATATTCTATGTCTTTCATGAAATGCTTATCACTGTATTATAATTGCCTGTTTCAGTTATATCACTATATCTATGAACTTTAAAAGTTCAAGAACCTCATTCATTCATTTCTACACCACATTATCTGGCATACTTCCTGGCACAGCATAAGGATCAATGTAGTATGTTCTACGTTATTAAAGCTATGAAATACTTTGCCCTAGTGTCTGAAGTATGTTACTGAATATACTATTGTTTTCTGGATAAAATCTAGGTTACATTAATAGAAAACAAGGAATTATCATTAATTCGTGCTAAGAAGAGAAGTGACGAACTAGGTTTAAGCAACATTTGGTTCATTCAAGCAAATATGGAGTATTTTACAGGGACGTTTAATATTGGGGTAAGTAATAAACAATTTTAATTTCTTTCATTATTTAAGTAAGAAAATTATAAGACTAAGAGTAAATAAAGGAGATATGTTTATATTCTTTGCTAAACAGAGGAATTTATAACATTCGTTTAATGAATACTATTTCATTCATAACTTTCATCATTCCATGATAGAGGTAACACTTGTTCCTTTATAACTTTATTTTCTTCTTTGTAGAAGCCCAATGTCTAAAACAATGTTTGACACATAGCAAATGCTTAAAAGTAGTTATTAATTGAATGAATGAATTATAATGAAGATGATGTCTCTTGTTTTATACTACATTTTTAGAAAATTAATGAAAGAAAAGAAAAACAAGAACATAATAGAAAAAAATAGCTTGTTAGTAACCTATAAATACTAAAGTTGCCTTTACACAATATATCTTTAGCTAGGATTTGATATCATCATGTTTTTTAGCTTCCAAGAGACAAAGTATATTGGTCATATTTCTAAACCTTCAGATCAAATTGTTATTGTTTGATATGACTAAAAAAACCTAAGATACATGATTCTGCCAGCTCATTTAAACCCAAGATTGTATGCTCTGCTGGAGTTTAAGTTTCATTAAGATGTTAGTGTTGCTTCTGGTCTTTGTATTTGTTTCAAACAATTTTTTCTTATTTTTAAGGATTTAATGTTCAGTATAGAAAAATACATAGTAATATAAAGAGGAATCATCAGTATTTCTACTACTGAGAGAGAACTGTTGTCAAAAACCTTCAGTCTTTATACAGTTTTCCACACATACAAAAGCATATTTACACATTTATTAACATCATTGATATCATACTACATAGATCCTGCTTTAACTGAACATTGTCATAAATCTTTTCCCTACTGACTCATCATGTTTTTTTTGTTTCTTGTTTGTTATAATATAACTATTACTATGATGGATATCTTATGCATCACTTAAGATATTTGATACATTTGCCAAATCACTTTCCAGGGAAGTTGTGCTAATTTGCATTCCCAACTGTCTGTGTTCATATAACACACACAATGGGCTTGACTAGATGGAACTCTTGTCCAATTTCAGAAGCTCAAACCTTTTGTAGTACTTATGATTTTTTCCCAAAAACGTTCATTTCTTAAATATCAACTACTCCAAGTTTGTGGGGCTTATTGTTATTTTTTACAGCCTAAAAAAGAATGCAGTTTGTTTACTGTGTAGGTGTGATCTAGATTGGTTATCTCAAGCCAAGCCTATACAAAGAGAAGCCAACAGTTTTAAGAAAACTGTTAGTAAAGTAACTGTTAATAAGGAAATTTTGGAAAACGTAAACATCTGAGACAGCAAATTAAATATATATTTTTGTGCAATTTAAATTTTACATAAATGTTGACATACATAGGTTCTCCCATGAAACAAGCCATTAAGCCAATGCCCGTATTACCCATATACCAAGCAGAATGTTTAAGATACCAAGGTGTTGCTGCCCATTCACTCACCTCTCAATTCATGAAATTCCCAGCCTGTCAGCCATCTATCTCTTTGCCCTTCTCTGGCATATATTCTTGTAACTTCCAAGGTCATAACTTACTAACACCAACTAAAACTTATGTCTTTTTATAAGTGATTTCTTCTCCACATTTCATAATATTATATCCATAATGACTTTTTTTCTTTCATAAATTACCTTTGTCGTGTTACATAGAAATGAATTAAAATTACTTGGAGGATTAAACCAAAATTAGATTTACTCTCAAGGAATTAATTTGCCTAGGAAGATAATTGAGGTATTGTCACTTGATAAATCAAACTAAATGGATCAGTGGTTCTAACTCTTGCATAATAGATTCCAGTGAAAATAGTGTAGGTAGAGAGGAAATCAGAACAGCCAGGTACTGGAAATGAATTAAGACTGCATTAATCCATAATGTTGCGATCTTTCAAATTAACAGTTAGTTGGCATTTATCTTTGCTTAGCAAATGCCTTTTTCTTTCATTATTTTTTTCTTTAGATATAAAATTAATGATGTAAACAAGATCTTTAGAAGAGAATTTTAAAGCCTTAGAACTAAACATGTTTTGGAGCTTTAAACAAATTACATATATAAGAATTGAAATGCCATTAATACAACCTATATCAGGCAAAAATTAACAGGTGTACTAACTTTGTTAAATTACTTTGATTTGAAATAATGGAAGAGAACAAATCCATTTTCAAATTTTTCAAAAACTTCTACCAACACCCCTAGTTATTGTACCTCCCCTATATAATCAGTATCAGTAAGGTAATACTATGTTTGTTCCAGAGTCATTCTGTAATTTCTGATTTACACTCTGTATATTTGAGAAATATAGTTCTTTGGAAATACACAAATGCCTGATAAGCTTATGAAAACATTCAAAGTCTCTAGTAACTGTATACATTTTAACTTGAACAATGATATTCAATTCTTGTTCTAAAACTGACAAAGAATTTTAAAATATTATTCCTCATTGATTGCAATGCTTCAGTAAGATGGGTATAACCATACAGGAGCTTTGAAATATTCACTTACATGGTATTTACAATGAGTTGTTAATGACATGAAAAATTTATTATATTGGTAAAACGAAAATTGTATAAACATAATGGCTAAGAGATGTATTTTAACATTGGGCAGCCTTATGCTAAAGTCTCAGTTTGGCCAGTTAGTTAACTATATAGCTTTGGACAATTTATTTAAACTCACCAATCCTCAGTTTTTCTGCCTATAAGATGGGCATAATATACCTGGTTCATAGGATGTTGATAAAATGCATGTGAGGCACTTAGCTGTTTGCTTGGCATTTAAGAAGGACTCAACAAATTGGGCCTCTTACTCTGTGCAGTGTGATCTCAACCATTGAAAAGAACTACATCAAAAATGGATGGGAGTAAATTATGCCAATATGTATTTTTTTAAAGGTGGCTCTCTCTATATGCTAATATGCTTTTCTTTATTTTCAATATTAAAAAATATCCCAAACTTAACATTATTTTTATATTCATAATAATGTAAGCAATTAAGCAATGAAGATAGAAGAAAAAAACATATGTGTTTAATATTTGATAGATAGCTTATTTAGCCAGAAAGACTAATAGGGTCCTAAGGATAACTACAAGGTTTCTAAAAGAATTCTGAACATAGAGAGAGAGATATGATTTCTTTCAAAATGAGCATTTGATTATTATAGAAATACCTTTTGATTGGCTAATTCTGATTTTGATTATAATGACTGTTATATCCTGGGGAAAATATAAAAAAGTCTTTTAAAAAATAAACACTCAAGAAGGATTTTTTCTTTCCAGTCTCAATATAGATAACTAACTGTATGGCACTGAACTGAGTGTTTGTTATGGATTGAATATTTGTGCCCCCCACCAAAAAAATTCATATGTTAAATTCCTAACCCTTAAGTGGTGGTATTAGGAGGCGGGCTTTGGGTAGGTAATTAGCTCATGAGAGTGGAACTGTCCTGAATGGAATTAGTTCCCTTATAAGAAGCGAAAAGAAAGACGGCCTCCTTCCTTGGCTCTCCTTCATGTGGGGGGACGATGAGAAGCAGCCCTTTGCAAACCAGGAAGGGGGTCCTCACCAGACATGAGATCTGCCAGCACCCTGATCTTAGACTTCTGACCTCCAGAACTGTGAGAAATAAGTATTTGCTGTTTAAACCACCCAGTCTGTGGAAATGTTTCTATAGCAGCCCAAACTAAGGCAGTATGTGTTGATCACCATACACTTAAAGGACAATTTACAAGAGATTACTTTAAAAGTAGACATTTTAATGGCTGTTTTTTTTTAAAGAAGTCTGTTATTGCCTAATGCAAGTTAAATAATCATTACTGTAAAAAACTTACTTTATAAGATTTTCCTTTTAAGACCCAAGTTGCAATGTGTACTAATAACCAGGCTCTCAAACAATATTACAAAAACCTTGCCAAACAATATCACAGAAAGGGCCATGACTATAGAAAAACACACGTTGCATTAAAAAAAAAAACTGTGTCAGGGCTAACCAACTTCCCCACCAAAATTTTTAGATGGATAATTCCAGCAGTAACACAGAGTCATCTCAACCAGATAATAAATGATTGATTTTTGCAGTTTGGTGAATATTTTCTATTTGTCAATATTTATCAAAATCTAAAAAAGTTTGTCTGCATTTACTTTTTTCTACTTTACCCTTACCAATTTTTAATATGATTGTTTATGATTTATCAGTGCCAAGGGCTAAATTCAAGCTTATTTCTAGTTATGTATATTAGTGTACAGTTAGAAGAAGCATATGTAATTATAAAATGTAATTCAGTAACACTCCTGATACCTAATTTATATAATCCTTGTTTTAAAAGAAAAGGAACTTAAGAAATTACATATTCTGTAAACACAATTTTTAATCATTAAGCCAAAATAGAGGACTTACCAGAATGGCCCCAAGAAAGAACAGAACCCTAAATAACAAGGAGAACAAGAACCAGAAAAATTACACCCATCTTAGGTGAAACTATGTTCAAAATATAGTAACTTGAACCACAATATATGAGGGCAGAAAGCAAACTGAAGAAAAATGGAAAATTTATTTTTAGGTGAAGTATCATTGATATACAACCCAACCTTATATTAGTTTCATTGAGTAGAGAAGATTAAACTAAAATGCATGGGGGAGAGGGGTTGGTTATCAAGAAGCAAGTCACTTTGCTCCCAGAAAAATTCAGGAATTCAGGATGCCAGAAACCTCAGAGAAAGATCATGAGGAGGAATGAAATCATGTTTAATTAAAAATATATAGAGACCCAGGCTCCCACCCTCCCCCCTTGTATAGACAGGTAAATCTTTCTCCCTGACTCCTACAAGAGACGAGAAGTTTATTCTTTGAAGGAATTGAGACAGAGATGTTCCAAGTATCGGGATATTGGGCACAGAGGGCAGGGATGATGCGCCACACTGAGAGCAGCAACTGAGTGAGGATCTGCATACACAATGATGGACCT